AGGATTTTGAGCATAACCTTGCTAGCATGTGAAATGAGTGCAATTGTACAGTCGTTGGAGCATTTTTTGGCACTGCCCTTCTTTGGGATTAGGATGTAGACTGATCCTTTCCAATCCTCTGGCCACTGCTGAGTTTTCCAAACTTGCTGGCATATTGAGTGTAGCACCTTAACAGTGTCATCTTTTAAGGTTTCAAATAGTTCCACTGGAATGCCATGACCTCCACTGGCCTTGTTAGCCAGGCTTTCTAAGGCCCACTTGACTTCACTCTCCAGGATATCTGGCTCAAGGTCAGCCACCACAGTATCTGGTTTGTCCGGGACATCAAGATCTTTCTGGTATAATTCCTCTGTGTATTCTTGCCACCTCTTCTTGATGTCTTCTGCTTTTGTGCTGTCCCTACCATTTTTGTCCTTTATCATGTCCATCTTTGCACAAAGTGTTCCTTTAATATCTCCATTTTTTTTTGGCGATCGCATTGCGATGATCTAAATGGCCGAAAATCGCATTGTGATGTTTTTTTAAACAGCTGATCGGTGGTTCCAAAACGGCCGCCGAGTGCACAAAATGGCCGCCCGCAGCGTTTTTGCGTGCTGCCCTCGCTTACCGAGGCGGCGAAAATGGCGGCGCTATGGAGGATCCTCGCTCAACGGTGAGTTTTTTCCCCATAGGAACGCATTAAACGGACTTTAATGCTTTCTTATTTGGTTTTTTTTCCGTTTAGCGACGATTCCGGATAGCGATGATAATCCTGGAATGGATTAACGTCACTATGCGGGGCACCACTGTACAAGGAAGAGTCTTAATTTGAAGAAAGTCCCAATATTGGCTAAATTTTTCAGTTTACCAGGTTATTCTTTGTTAGCAAGTTTTAACTTGTCTGTGTAAGATGTTTACAATAACTAGAAATAATACATAAAGGCAGAATCTGCCTGAATATTTACACTGTTGTAAATATAATGGCTAGACATGGGTATTTCAGGATTGTTTCCCCAAAGTGGTTGGCTGTGTGGGGAGGCAAGGAAGGGTTGGCTGGCTCCTGCCAGGATTGGCGTGATGACGATGATGGAGATGAGCAGAGCCTGATATGTTCTAGGGGGCAGGATTGGGCCAGGAAAGCCAATACAAAATACTCATGTCTAGTAATAGCATGACTCAGAATGATGAATTGCTGCTAATTAATGAGACCTTGATTGAATTCCTGGCAGTGGGCCAGCTATATGACTTTACATATGACTAGGAATTAAGTCAGTGGTTGTTAATTAGTGATTGGTACTCTGAATTAACTCCAGTGCATTTAGGGAGTCATAAATATTCAAATGGATTCTGGCCATATTTTAACTTTATGAAACAAATATTTTAGTTCCAAACTGTTGTATGTGCAGTGATGGGTGAGGAGTGGAGTTTGAAGTATCATAAGTATAACAAAAAAGTCAAAGTTTTGAACATTTGTTCCAATACAGTAATTTGTTGTCCATCTTTTTTACAAGTAAATTGCGTTGGACTTCATAACTTAAATAAAAGTAGTGGAATGACATTGAATGAGAGTTTGGAAGCATATAATCTTGGAATGTTTCAATTTCAGCATGTTTCACTTAAAATCAAGCTGAAGTTACATCATTCTTTCAGTGATGCCAGCAATTTCCATTCCAAATCAGTTTGCTTCTTTTTGCCATCAATCCTTTTTTGATAAAAAATTATTTTGAACAGCAAGTACTTCTCTGATGACTCCTGGGATTTAGACAGTTAAAGATAAAAGCAGAAAATCAACAATACATTGCCTTACAGTTGTGATTGCATTTTTGCTTCTTTCACTTGCTTCAGTGAATATGAGATGTATTAATAGCTTGCACTAGTATTTGTCACAAACAACAGAAATGCGTCAATTTGGAAGATATTGGAAAATTAATCATAGGAAATGTTTTTCCTTCCTTAAATATGTAGGAAAGCAGTAGAAGAACTTCTAACGGAGGCCAAGCGAGGTAAAACCAGAGCTGAAACTATGGGAGCTATGGGCTGGTAAGTTGTTTAGCCTAAATAAAGGTGATGCTTTTCTGTTATGTTCATTATCGTGTTCAGTATTTATAAATGTGTGGAGCTCCAGCTATGGGCGCTGTTCTGGTGATGAAGTGCAAATTGCTTGTATATAAATATATTTGGAATCCCTTTCCACAGGAGGCCAGACTGGCCCCGTATTTGCTGTCCTTCTGCAAGGAAGTGCAGATATTTCTCTTCAGGCAAACTTGTCCTTAGTGGCTGATTGTCTGAGTGGGATTTTTTTCAATGGATTAATGTACTTTACTGCTTTGAGCGTGTTTTGGTGGGGTTTTTTTTTTGTTTGTTTACTGTTTTTTGTGTGGTATGTGTTTGATCTTTTGTGTTAGCTTTACATATGGTATTGTCTTTTAATGTTTTAAGCCACCTTGAATATTTTTTTAAAGAGGAAGGCAGGGTAAAATACAGTATATATAAATAGGATACTATGCAAATAGTTTAAAGTACAATACTAAGGCTGTAGTCATAAGTATGTTTAAAGTAAATAACTCCCATTTCATATTGGAGGGATTACTTCAGACTGAAGACACCTAGGATTTCAGTATAAATCTTTCACAAATAAGTTAAAAGACAAACTTGCTTCTTTTTTTGGCTATGGTAAGCACAAGTGTACAAGAAGTTGATTGAAATCACTAATAATTAATTTTACATAATTGCTCTGATAAGGCAGCATTTTTTTATTTGAAGCAGTGATGCCCATAGAGCCTCTATTTATGCATGGCCTCTATTTATGCATTACAGCTAGTATAGCATAATCAGTTGCAGTACCTGTCGGTGGCACCAAGGGTCAGAAGTTTGAATAACAATTGTGTATCCCAGGAAATGGGCTAGCCAGGGTGACCTGTATGTAGTGTGTCTAGAAAAGCGTATAAAATTGTGTGCCTTGTCACCTATGCAGCATTAGCCAAGCTGCGTGTCTCACTGCTCTACCGGAAGGAGTGTCTGGTGAACCAGTTCTGAATACTTTATACCTTGAAAGTCCTAGAAGGGTTACCATAAGTCAGAAATAATTTGATGTCATATGATTGTTTTCTGTGCATCACAGTCACCTTCATTTAAAAAAAATATTTCTGGCAAAATATTGTTAAAAGTGCTTTTGTATTTCTTAAGGTAGTATACCAACCAGAAATGTATGACGATTCTGTTACAAGCCACAAAGTGTTTCTGACTCCCACCTCCTCTTTCTTAACATGTCATATCCCAAATAATTATATTTTAGGGCAGGGGAGCTATGAAGGCCCCAACAAAGCTTGTTGCCCTACCGGGTATTAAAGGAATGATGGCCCTGTCTTGTTCCCAGTGTGGAAATAAACTTTTCCAGAGCGCCCGTTGTTGCCTACATCCTTATCCTGACCAAATTAATAACTAGGTCCTTTATGCTGACAGGCACAAGATGGGCATAATACTGCTATCTAATGTTGCACAATATTTAGGTCTCCTTATTTGCACTCTTTCAGTAAAAAACAAAACAAAACAGTGGCATAAGATACAGCTCTGAATCCCCTGTATGATGATATAAGAGAGAGCTGTTTCAGCCTGCTGCAGGAAAAATACGAGTCTTAGGATTGCCTAAAGGCTAACAAATGTATTGTAGTATAAATTTTGTGTACCAGAGCCCCTTTGCTAGTTATGTGACTATTATCTTTGTATGTCACAAAAGTCACAATGTTACATCTTTCTCTTTTGGAGACATCTGGCTACTTGATCCTTTCTGGTACACATCTTGACTATTTCTTTCTGTAGTCCTACATCTACACTAGGTGGCATACAAGGAGAGCCGAAAACATGTGAAAGAGAGCTGTTTGATTTAGGTGCTGGATATGTGTTTGTCAGATAGTTATGCTGTTGCTTTCTAATGTCTCTGCAGGATGAAGTGCCCTCTCGCCAGCACAAATAAGAGGTTTCTTATTAATACTATTAAGAACACATTGCACTCCCCGAAAGAGCAAGACCAGGGACAGAAACAGCAGGAAAGTGATAAGGAATCAGAGCCAAGCCAGAACAGGGAAGAAACGAAGCCAAAGAGATACAAATCACATGCTTACACACCTAGCTTTCGGTCAAGGCGAAGAGTCAGTTCTTCTCCACCCAGGCGCAGGCATAGGCACAGGAGCCAGAATGCAAATGACAAATACGAAAAGCAGTCAAAGAAATGATGAGAAAAACGTCATTCCAAGCCACGGATTTAATCAGACCCTGAACTTTGATCGGGGAGGAATCTTTGACTACAGAGTATTCTTCAGTATAGATATCTGTGTTGGTTAAAAAAAAGATGTACGTGTTGATAACAAGTTTCTAGAATTACGCAAAGCAATTTATTGTGTACCTTATTTGAAGAGTCTTTACATTAGAAAAAAAGAACTGATAGTGCATATGTTTCCCCTCTTTCCTCCCAGGTCATTTATATTTCTAGTTCAGCTTGTTTCCTTTCATTGGATAGTTAACATGTTTGTGCTTAGCACAAGTTTTGGGAAGCATTACCAAGATTGATTTACATGAGTGGTGTGCTCTGCTTATGATAAGTTACCTTGTTTCTAAATGTCTTCAGTGAAGCATCTAAACTCATTATTTTTAAAATAGTTTGTTCCATAGGTATTGCAAACTTGGTGTGCTTCTTGGCCTTCAAATACCTATATTTTAGCAAGGCATGTAAGAGGGAAATGAGCAAGGCTCATACGTTGAGAATGGTTGACGTAACATCTAATATTGTAAATTATTTGAAATAATGAAATAAAAATGGATTTACTATATACTGATAAACATGTAAGAGACTCATGATGTAGTAAAGTGGTTTTAGGGTCTGTGTGGGAATTTCCTTGTACACATGTCACTCTGCATAAGTGATGGCTGCTCATTCCTTTCAGATTTAATAGAATTCACTAGTCATACCATGTATTAATTTGCATAACATATTTCCCAGCAATGAAGTGAATCTTAGACACTGTGGTGGGGAAGGGTGGGGAAGACACTGTTTTGTGGGCATCCTGCATTTTGGAAGATCAGTCACTGGATGGATCTGAAGTCAGTCCACTGTTTGGTATCTGTTTAGATGTATATGTTTGAATCATAACTAATAAATGCAACTCAATGTTGCAGCTTCCCTGTGGAGAAGCAAAGAAGAACAATAGCATCAGGAAGACTAAGAAATAAATTTTACAGAAATCACTGAGGCTACAGTCCTACTGCCCTGTTGTTTGAGTTGTGTGGTTTTCTCAAAGCTTGTACAAGGAGGTACAGTACTCAATATCTCATTGCACAAATGAAAGTCCTTTTGAAATAAAGGAAATGATTTTTGCAACAGGCTAGAAATCATAACTGGGCAGAGGATTCTGACCTGAGTAATTGAACAGCAAAACAATATAGTAAATTGTCATTTCTGATCATTGTCTTGTTACAGTTGTATTAGTCTAGTGCTCAATGATTCCTGATCTGCTGATAAATTATCTTTGTGATTTCTCTGTTCAGTGACAATATTGATCTATAAATCTGTAGCAGATTTGGGTAAGTGTATGGTTTAGCTGTTTTCAACTGTTGGTGATTTTTTTTAGTTAGTATTAAACCTGAGTTATTTTACTAAATATGTGAGAAGTATTTTCCAGGTATTCAACTATGAAATATAATCTTCATTGCATATATACATACCATTTCACTAAATAAAAGCAAATATGTCTTCAGCTTATTATGTGTCAAGTGCAGATGCTATGCTATATTGTGTCCATCGAGTCAGGTAAATTAATATTTAATTTAGTGTAGTAGGACTTCTGTATCTGTTGGGGAGTGGTTCTCGTGGATACTGTTGGGGAGTGGTTCCCGTGGATACTGAAAACCATGGATAATGGTGAACGGTGTACATATAGCATGGTAAAAGGGGCGGGGGAGCAGAATTTTTTCACATGCATTGCCAGAACAAGAGGGCTCCAGAGACCATGTTATGTATTCTTCACTAACAAACATTTATAGTACCGTCTCTGGTGGCTGGTTCTGGTAATACATGTGAAAAAATTCTGGATTCTTTTGTAATAATTTTAATATTTTCAGTCTGTGGGTAAGTGGGTAGTGATCCCATGCGTAAGGGGGTCCTACTATATTTATCAGTGCATGTCCGTGTATGTCACAAGTCCTAATGAATATAGTGGGATTCACACCAAGGTATGTGTGCTTACAGCAAGGGGTATCACATGCAAGTGACATAGTCCCACTTCAGCTGGGACAGGCAAAGTAACAGATGGTTGCCCTAGAACTTCTTTCTTATGGTGAGGAAGGGTCTATGACTATATAATTGCAATTGCTTTCATTCTACAAATTGCAAAAGGCAATTAATTTGATATTGTATATACAGACAGAGACCTCCATTCAATGAGGAATGGGTAGGATAGGTAGTGAGTTCAATTAAATATAATTCTGTTATGTTAAATTATATTTTCAAAATTCTACATTTGTTATAAAATGCCTGTAGGCTATTGGTTGATTTTATTTACTTTTCAATATGAATTGTACAGCAGTTTGCCATAATGGAAAAGGTTGGGTGGCATTCTATCTAAAGCCAAATGATTAGAGACTTTTTCTTTACTAGCAGAACTAAAGATAAAATCCCCCCTCATTATAATAGAGCAAAAATATTTTCCAACTGATGGAATAATTTGTTCACTATTTACCTGTCTTTAGTCTGTCTTTCTACCAAAAATTTCTTTCAAAGAAAGAAAATGCCCTTAAGAAAATACAGAGGAGACACAGCCAACTTCAAGTCAACTTTGAAAGGCAGAAAAGACAAAAGAGACAACAAACTTAACTTTCCTCTGTTAGAATTTTTAGAGTCTGGGAATTATCAAGAAGACCCTAATGGACCTTCTAAGCTTTGTCAGTATCTCTCATAGTATCCACTGTATCTGTGGCAAACCATTTTTCACTTTAAAGTGGCAAGTTCGACTGCAACTCTCAAAATATCTCAAAAATGTTCACCCTTTGAAATAAAATGATGCCATTGGATTTTTTAGACATTTTTTGTTCTCATTAATACTGAATACAATAGTGCTGCAATCACCACTTCCCTGTAACAGTGCCTACTTCCATTAGATTCTATGTACCACTTGTGCTATGAAATTTTGTCTCTCTCAGTAGTACTGGCAATGGGGAAAGTTAATTTAGTTTACACAGAAATACAAATCTATCTAACTTGAACTTATACGGATGGGCAAAGAGAAACACAGGCTCAAACTGGACTCATTGCAGCATTAGATGTGGAACCAGTTTAAGAGGTAAAAGATACAGTACTCGTTAATCCAAGACAAAGCTTGTCTGTCTCTGTCACAAATTAACTTGCAAAATTTGTTTTCTGGTTGGTCATCAGGAGGCAAATGTATGTTTCATTTCCTTAAAGGAATTGTGTGCCTGAAGGGAAATCTTGATACAGGTGTTTTTCTTAATGTGTGATTTGTTCCACAGTTATTTGTTGGTGTGTACCTCCCCCTGAATTTTGTAATGTTCTCCAGTTAGAAAACAAGTGTATTAAGAAAAGATCTGCATATTAGTGAAAATGTACAACGCAGTGACTATAAAAATGCATACCTTAGGTGAATCTTCTTAGAAGCATATACATTTTCATATGGAATTTTAAAAATAGCAGATGTATGCAGAATTAGGATAAAAGAAATTATGACTAAAAATGACAGGAAATGAGAAACAGAATGACAAGTTGATCCCTCGTCAGGACCTGAATGTAACACAAGTTAATATGAAAGAGAAATAGCTGTTACCCATTCTATTTCACTTTTCCTGCTTTCCTGAATTCACCAGTAGAATGTTAATTATTAGATGGGCAGAGTCAGTCAGATTCTGACTGGTACCATTAGTACATAGTGGTATGAGTATCTGGAATGTCTAATATGTGAATGTGATTCAAGCTTTAGCAAAAACTTGGTGAGAGTTAAAGGTTTATGCTCCACACCCTGACGATTTACTCCACTTTAGTTTGCTCCTGCTAAGGAAACTGGTGCTGCTGCCACCCACCCACCCCTGTAAGCTATATTTTAACAGGGTGGGAAAATTACCCTTCGTTGTTTGGAGACACTCTGGAGTATACATGAAAGATGCCCTGTGGTGCAGGAATCTAGTCAATCCATGTTCTGAAACACACAGAGCAGTTCTAAGAAGCCTCACTGGAGGGTGGTACGTTCAGTGTTCCACCGCTACAAAGTTCCTCATCCCTACCTTTTACAATCCACAACAAAACAAAATTCATAAAACTACATTTTGATTATTTTAGTCTTAAATACATGCATTGCCTTATTTTCTATTTTGGTCGTTTTTAATGTTGCCCCAGTATACTATATTAAAAATGGGACACAAATACACGCATTTATTTTCAGCTCCGGGATATAGTTACCCTATGAATGAGCCATCTCCAAAATGTCTTCAACAGCCCTGCTCAAGACTATATAGCTTTTTTCCAGCCACTGAATTTCATCTGAAATGAAGAAGAGGAACCAAAAGTTGGACGTGAGCTGTTAGGCAAAGCCTATTGGAGGACACATGAGAAAGATGCTCCTTCAAGTATGGAGGTCACTTTTTAATGTGCCCTCCAACAGTCCAGCATGACAAAGACTTTTGGCATCAGCACTGCTTCCATGTCCATTTATTCTTCCCTAGCTGTTTCTAATGGAGAAGCTGAGCTTGGACCTTCTTGGCTACTGGGTGTTTTGGACTACAGCCCCTTACCACTGGCCATGCAGGCTGGAGCTTCTGACAGTCTCGAGTCCCCGGCCATGCTTCCAGCATAATGTTTTTGTGTTGACTCTGGAACCAACCAGCCACACCCTGCTGCTACTTAATTTCTATTCTAAAGCTTGCAGTGGGAAGGAAAGAGATCAACATGGCCTTGAAAGAAGCAGAAAGTGGAGGTAGGATCTGTGCTTCTTCATCTGTTCTATCAGTATGAGTCTGGCAAGTTGTTAGGGTGTGTCAGAGTCTCCTGCACCACAGTGCTCCAAAACTAAAGGGTTGCATTGCCCTCTCCATCTTCAGTGGTCTCTTTCTGAAAGAAACCAACGCCAAGAAGTAACCCAACAGTCTACCCCATTTACTGATGTGAATATCTTCTAATCTAAAGGTTGTAAGTATACTATAATCTATTCTTGAAAGCTTTTACAGGTGGGGTCTGATGGTGGTTGTAGGTTTTCCTCCAGAACATAGCCAAACAGCCTAGAAAACCTACAACAGTCATACTATAATCTACTTCATATACTATGTTAGCCGCCTAGAGTGGTCTGGTAGTCCAGATAGGCGGGGTATAAATCAAATAAATAATAAAAATAAATATTGGAGTCTGTTACACTCCAGACATTCATGGAAGCGGACAGTGCACACACCAGCATATAAACTAGTAATTCACAAGTTATCTGCTCCAAAAATGCATTCTGCTAAGGCCCCACCAGGAGGAAGCAGTCATAGAAGTGTGCTGATTGTTGTTTGAGGCTATAACTTTGAAGTGTGTTTTGCAATATGGCCTTAAATCAGACACTGAAGCTTGGTGGAAAAAAAAAAAGGAGTGTGTGCTGTAAGTTGATGAATTCTGTGGCATAGAACTCTATATAATGTACAAAAGTAAATGGGCAGAACAAATTAGTGGTTGTCTGAAGGAAAGACGCAACTCCAGCTGAAAAATGAAAGTAGAAAACAGAATTGGTTAAAAGGAAAGTTGCCATTTGCTGCTGTCCCTTTATAAACGTGTTTCCTTTATTTCTTCTTTTCTGAAGAATTGCATT